CTGACAATGTGATCTTGGGTAAGTTCATCTCTGTATGCCTCAGTTTCCTCATTTGCAAAATAGGGTTTAGATGGAAAAATAATGGAAATCCCAACCACTTATAAAATTTTTAAGTGTACAAGCATTAATTAGTTTCTTTAATTAAATTGGCTTTCGGGTATATTGGAATTTCGAGGTCATTCTATCAATACTCATTTTTTGAGGGCCTCCCATGTCCGCAGCTTTATACTAAGGGCTGTGGTGTAATGAATGTTGTTAAGTATGGCTGAGAATACACAAAATGTGGCCATTGTTCTAAATACCTGTACACACCTTGACTCTCAGTGTTTCAAGAACTAGTGAAAAAGGAGTTAATGGTTCAATTAAAGTTGCTTAAATGTGACTAAAATAGGACATTCTCTTCTCTGCAACTGGAAAGAACATTGCTGCATTTTAGGCTGCCGGTTTCTGGAGAGCGGCCGAGTTTTAAAATGTTTATATCCCCATGTCCTCCTGCCCCAAAAGGCTTAATAAAGATTCTGGTTGGAATTAAATTTATAATATGGTGACTGGACATTTAATTTTTACTGAAACATAGTCTAATCCCCTTAGAATATTGTATTTCATCTATGTAAATATCTACAATTCGCAGATGTCTGTCCCTATGCCAACAAATTGCAAAAGACCGTTGATGCTATTTGGCCTCCCAAGAGCTCACAGATTTGTTTACAAACTATAATCAGTATTATTTTCAAGATTTGCAATCAAAATTGTGAACCTCAGAAGTCAGCTGCTTGGGCATTTCATAACACATAGCCCAAGACTGATAAACTTGGCTCTTGTTTGCCTGCCTGATCTCCCCAACTACACCATAGTTACCGAAGGGCAGCTTTAGGACTTCTGTTACATGTCTCATTCAGAGCAGACACTCAAAGATTCTTCATAAGGCATGGAGTACTAGAGCTAAAGGGAGTGGGGGATACCACTGGATCTAACATTCTCTTCTCCAGACTGAGATCGAGAGACCCCAGAAAGACCAACGACTTGACCAAGGCAACTCAGTGAGTAGAAAAATGAGAACTTGCACCTAGGACTCCCAACTCCCAGATCCATTGGATGGATTAATAAGAAGCATCAAAAAGCTCAGAGAAGACTCAATAGTTTGAAAGGCTGCAGCTGAGAAGGAGTCAGAGGTATGGAGTCATTCTATTCCTCCAGTGCCCTGCTGGTCCCCTATGATGGATGGATGGATGGAAAGACACAAGGTTACAAGTGTGAGTAGCACACAAAAGCAGAATTGGTGGCATTCAGGGGCATATAAGGATACAGAGGAAAAGTAGGTGGATTGTTCCATCCCAACCTGCCTCCAGGAACTTTCCGAGCTTGTCCAGACCTGGTTCTTCAAAGAGAACTAACTGGTTTACCAAAGCTCTGAGTCAGAGCTCTCAGGATATCTGCCCATATAAATCTGGATCTGGGAAGCAGGGAGTGGGAGATAGATTTGTACATAACATTGCATCCAACAAGCAAGAAGGCGATTGCTGTCTATCATGCATTTTAATGCAAGAGAGGCTCAGCTTTCATTTATATTGCTGGAATTTGGAGTCAGAACAAAACAGTATCAAAGATGCTCCAGGATTCACTCTTGCTTTTAAAATGCAGAGTGGCCACACTTGTTGCTGGATCATCACAGCAAAAGCCCAATGGCTAGCAGTGAAGTTTCCTCAGCATTTCCTTACTGTAATGTACGTAGGAAGCACATATCTTTTATTGGATTGAAATCCACATACGGCTAATATTTCCAAGGCTGACAAAACACAAGAACAGAGGGATACCTTTGCGAGTAATCCTCATGTCATAGAGTGATTTCAGGCATTCCACGTGCTTGAGGTTTACAATGTTAAATATCAATTTCAGCTATGTTACTTAGTTCCTGACAAGAAATCTCCGGGGTACAAAGACAGTAAGACAATTAGAATTGCAGTTTGTGTCCCATAGTGAAGACCGAGCACGTGTGCTGGCACAATGCCCAGCAGAGGAGAGTTAGCAGAATATCCAATATGGCTGTGTCCTTGGGGTCAGAGAAGACTTGATGTCTCCAGTCTGCAGACTCCATGTATCCTCGATAATGGGTCTCAGGCTAAAAGCTAATTGTGCAAAAAGTCAAATCTCAGGTAGAGATGAGATGGCCATCTAAAGCTAACATGCAAATTAGCATAGGCCCATGGATTTAGTCCTAAAATAAAATAAACCCAGACCAGAGGAACTGGGAACTCAATCAAAAATTAGGAATAGATGGGTGATTCTTCTCCGAATAGAAAATTACAACTATTAATGACTTCTTAGGAATGTGTGCTAGAATTAGCCCTAAGTTTTTATAAATGATCCAGAATTGGAAACTCTGAGTTTGTACATCATGCTAAGTTTTTCCAGAAGCTGAATGCCAAGTTAATAAGGATAAGCGGTGGAAGAGCTTGCTGAGTTCTGAGAACCACGGGGATGGAAATGGAAGGTTTCAACATAGCCATACTTAAAGACTTGTGGGATCCAGCTGTCACTTAGACCACAGGAAAGTTGTAATGGAGCGTCCTCAAAGCGCGGGCTCGACGTACTACCACTGAAAACAAATGCCCACAAAACGTCATGTCCTCAGGAAGCGATATGCAAGCTAACTCTGCACAAACTGTAAAGTACTCAGACACTGTCAGGTGCTTTCGATGACGTGTTCCAAGCCGAGCTGAAGATGGGTCAGAGCTGCTTGGGAAGGGCCTGGGGGGGCTCCCATATTGGGATTCTGGTAGATAGATGTAAGCTTGGTGTGGTGATGACCTGCTGCAAAGACAGAGCCGGCTGGAGCGGATCAGGGCAAACATTCTAGACCACAGACTCACCAGCTCTGTGCTAAGTGCCTAGCACACACCCATCTTCTCATTGATTATTCACCCCATGAAGTGAGCCCACTTCGCAGAAGAAGGGATGAAGCTTAGCGAAGCTAAATAGCATGCAAGTAAGGGGCCAGAATTCCACCCCTGGCTGCTTGAATCCTGAGCCTGATGACTATGGTAGCCTCCAGTCTTTAGGACTTTTATGAAACTTTAATCTTTTTCCTAAGGAGGCCAGGCTACAGCTAGTAAGCAGTGGGTGCTGTTTGATTGTGTCTGGGAACTATCCCCTCCCCATGTGTCCCCCTCATCAATCTGTCTTCTGGGAGCACAGAGAAGTGGTGCTCTCCCTTTCCTTGCAATGCTCCCCCAGAAAGAGGGGGACACCAAGCTTCTGTAGGAGACTGAGTGTAGAGTATTAGTGACATTTTGAAAGTATAATTTAGAGAAGTGAATTTAAGAAAAATAAATTGTTGGGGAGCCTGGGTGGCTCAGTCGACTAAGCGTCTGACTTCAGCTCAGGTCACGATCTCACAGTTCATGGGTTCGAGCCCGATGTCGGGCTCTGTGCTGATCGCTCAGAGCCTGGAGCCTGCTGTGGATTCTGTGTCTCCCTCTCACTCTGACCCTCCCCTGCTAATGCTGTGTGTCTCTCTCTCAGAAGTAAATAAAACATTTTAAAAAAAGAAAAAGAAATTGCCAAACACCTATAAAATCAAGGGAATTCCTCACCCCATTAAGAGGTTGGGGTTGAAAATGTAAATGAGTTCATGAAAAATTTAAGTAAGTTTCTGGATGATATACCCAATGGATTATTAAAGAACACTGGGAATGTCTGAGGGACATCTCTTATCCTTTGGAAATGGTACGGCATTGAAATCACATCCCCTCTCACAGGTGAGTTTTCCTCTCATTTTTTTCCTCAAAGGTCATTTTTACACTGAATGAATGAGGGTCACACCTACCTGGAAAATCTTAAGTTTCTTTAGGTTTCTGAGTGTCAATGATTTTATTGGGAGAGTATGGGGTGAAAATTTTGAAGTTGGGCTTCTAAGAAACTGATGAACGGACTGATGTCCAAAGCAGCTAGAAATACAGAAATGACAAGAAGCAGAAGAAAAGTGGTATTTGGAAACCTAAAGGATTTTTCTTTCAAAATACATAAGGTATGAATGATCAGTAATCTTAGTAGAGGCTGATGACACAGAAAATATTTCAAAAGTAAATGGAGAAAAATCTTACGTACCGAGGAATATTACAAATCATAAGCATGTAGCTAACAGCTTTGAAGTTCAATAACTATTTCGCCACTAAGTTTTCTGTTATTTCTATCCATTGCGTTCATACCCTCCTTTTGTATCCCCATAGTGTTTTACAGACATCACTGATTTATGTTCTTTTTCTGTGTTTTTCCTTCCCAGGCAGAAGTAGAGTGAGCAGCATTAGCAGTAAGAAATCATTAAGCATCTATCGTGCCTGGGATCCCATATCGGTTGCTTGCTACGTGTTTAGTTTAGTTGTCCCCTAGGTGTGGTCATTGTTTTAAATACATGTTGTCCCTGCTACCTGAAAGTAGAATCCCTTCATAAACCAATCCTGTGAAGCAAAGAGGCGATTACTGTTCATTTATATGGAAAAGTTTTGAGCATTCCGAGACTTAAAAGATAACCTATCTTACTTAGGCTTTTCTGCTACCTTAGGACACATCCTGTTAATGGATGCACAGAATAAACGGAGGTGGAGCACAAGTGCTCACAGACACTGTTTGGAGCTCTGGAGGCTTCACAATGAGATGCTGAGCATGGTTCCCGGTTAGGAGGTAGGCGGGGCTGCTCTCACTGCTCAGGCATGTGCTGCCTCCATAAGGGCTTGCTGCCAAATACTGACTGCTATTTTGTCTTTGCATCTTTTTATCTAAAAGCAAAAATCAGTTCCCAATTTCTTTCACTTAGTGAAAGCAGGTACTCATGTAGGTCTTTCCAAAAAGCAAAGTGGTGGAATGAGAATTTTCAAAAAGTGGGGAATACCTGCATTTATATATTTTTTAAATAATACAAAGCCTAATCAATTAGCTCCTCAACCCAAAAACTCAGGATTACAACAGAATATGGACTATTATATTTTTCCTCTTATTCTGCCTTTATTTATTGCAAATTTTGGGAAACAAATTCATATCGTTGAACATGGGGATCAGGTCAGTCCCCGAGCCTTCTGATAGCATTCCATCACCCACAGCATGAAATCCAGTTTCCTTGTGACCGTCATCCAGGACCCTTGTGATGGTCACTGTCTTGAGCTCTTCACACTCCAGTTGCTAGTTTCCAGTTAGCACCTGAAAGGCTTTGAGTTCTTCCTGCCACAAGATGTTCTGTTTGCACATGCTGTTCCCTCTTCCTAGCCAGCCTTTCCCTACTCTGCCTTTGCTGCCTGCATCTTTCATCATTCACCTCTTTAGAAAAAAGCAAACAAACAAACAAACAAACAAACAAAAAAGGAGGGTCAACAGATAAGTAGTACTTGTGAAAAGCTATTAGGATTGAATAAAACTGGAGAAGTAAATTTATCAACATAAACCTTTATAAATAAAAACCAGAATTATTTTCAACTCATCACTTCACAAAGTGTTCACTTAATGCACTCAAAGTGAATTATTGACTGCCAAAAACTTCATTCTGGATACCAAAAGTAAACCACCATTGACTGTTTTCTTCTCAGAATGTTCAATTCTTCAATATCATTGCTTATTTACCAATCCTCTTTTTGATAGATTTGGTTTGGTTTAAGTTAAAACGCATGCAGGAATTTCCTCACCCAGTTCCTCTCCATGAGAAATGAAGTTTAACAGAGGGGTCATTATGGGACGTGGCATGGAAAGCGTACGGGGCTAGTTGTAGCTGTTGTTCATTTGTTTGTTGCCTTGGCTGTTCTCAGATACCAGGTCTCCATGTTTTGTTTTTCACCACACCATTAGCCATCTGGGCCTCTCTTCCTGATCCTTACTTCCCTCCGCTTTGTGGGTCACTCACCACTGTCTCCTGGAAGCGCCTGTACATTGAGCTCACCCGGGAAAACCTGGCAGCGTGGGTTTGTATGATGGGCATAAGCCAGCCACCTGGTTAGGCACTAGATCCTGAGGCTTTTCTGTCTTTGATTAGAGTAGTGTTAAACACCAACTGGCCGTATAGCCTGACAACAGTGGGTACTGAGCCGTGTGCCCTCCCGGAGGCAGTGAAGAGTGCTTCCGTGTGGACAGAAGGCAGCTTGTGCTAGAAATTCACCGCAGTGCAATCCGTGAAGGGATCTTTAACAAAGTCATTTCCTTACCGGACCTTTGCTTTCAGGGGCACCCTCTTTCTCCGGATACACATTTCCATGCTTAAGCTGCCAGCACATGAGCTTCCTACTTCTTGCTGTTTTAAGTGACCCACCATGCTGGTGTCTTTTACGCTGACTGTGTCATAGCGATGCGACCACTGTTTTCTCTTTCAATATTTGTACACACATGTTCTAGAATGTTTCAGGATGCTTTAGAGCTAAGCAACGCCCATGTATCTTGGCTGATGATTCAAATGCTAAAAAAAACAAAAAAACAAAAAAAAACACCAACCCATCAAATTCTGTCTTTTACAGAGAGAAAAGCAGAGCTCTGAGTTCTCTGGAGAAGAGCAGGGGTTCACGAATTTTTATTGGTATTAAGAAGCATCTGGGGCCCTTCCTCCTTAAATAAAAAAGCCCAAACCCAGGCAGTCTGCAAATTCCCAGCACCCAGCCCTGAAGATACTGATTTAGGTCCAGGAATTCGTCCTGGTGTTTTGTTTTGTTTTGCTTTTCTTCTTAAACCAGGGCCCGCAGTGATTCTGAGAAAGGTCTGTGGACCGTGCTCGGAGAAACCCTGGAATGAGGGAGAGCTGCTTTAGCTCTTCCCACCCACTTACTAAGCTGCCATCTGGAGTAATTTCTGTCTAAGCACAGAGAGAAACCCATGAGGAGTTAAAAAGCCCTTGTGTGAGTGAACTAAGCATTACACAGTGGAAGTTTCTGGATGCCTCTGAAAGAGATAAGGCAAATGCTTTGTTTCAAAAACTGGTCTCCTTTCATCATCTGGTTACCTTCTCCTTCCTCTCTTCTTTCCCCTTCCTGTTCTTCCCACTCCCCCCGCTCGCATGTTCCCCTCCCCCTTTCCTCCTCCTGTCCCCTCCTTTCTCCTCTTCCTCTCCCCTTTCCTCTTTTCTCCCCCTCCTCCTCCAAAACCTCCTTTTTTGGTTCATTTGGGGACTACATTCTTTTCTCCTCTCACCCAACCTCTTTTTCCAGAAGCTGTGGCGCACTCCGTCAGGTGACTGTTTTGAGATGACAGAGTAGGTCAGTCTCAACTCCTGGCAGAACTTGGAGGTGAGATTCAGGACTTCTGAAAAGCCAAGCAAGAGGCCAGCGTCTCGGCATTGACTGGGAATAAATCCCCTTTCTTATGTTTAAGATAAGTGTGGTAGGTGCGATGCAAAGTGGCGGAAAAACCCCGTTGCTCAGATCCTAGCAAGGGAAACCCCCCCCCCACCTCCACGCTAACACCTCCCACCACCACCAGTACCAGCACAAGCACACCTACCACAGTCCACAGTCACCTGTCCCACCGCAGTCAAAGCCGGCACACACAGGTGCTAAGACACTGCCTTCGTGGAAACTTCCAGGACCTGATTATCAAGATTAGTCACCAGGGTAACACAGCCTAGGAATGGAGCAGAGCTTTTGAAGTAGCGTTGGGGAATGTGAGGGTAGCAAGACGATTTAAGAGGTTGCTAACACAGACAAAGCTATTTACAAGCAAGAGCTTTCATTCTTTTATCGGTGAAGCAAACCAGCTGCCCTTTGGTCTTGACATTGTAATCTCACCAGTAAAATGGCAGTTGGTTAACAACATCCTCTCTCACCAAGCCAGGAAATGATGAAAAAAGGTCTCCATGGACCCCTTTAGGGATAAACAGAGGGAAACACTTATTATCTTTTGAACATTTAGCTGTTTGGGAAGAAAGGAGTGGCAAGAATGAGTGAAATTTAACAATGGGGTTGGAATCCTCGCAGTGTTTGTCGCCATGCTTTTTGTGGTTGAAAACTGCTTCCAGAGAATAATTGAGAGAAGGAGAGAGAGAGAGGGAGAGAGAGAGACAATTTACTCTTTATTTATTTATTTATTTATTTATTTATTTATTTTTCCAAAAGCAGAATATCTCTGTCTCCTCCACTAGGGGCCATTCCCTGTCTTGCCTCTCCTGATAGAGAATAGACCCAGTTTCCACTTGGAAACCTGGATTATCTTAAGCCTATAGAGGGAGTCCTGGATACGTGGAAGGGGATGAGGTCCCAAAGTTCTCTTGTTTGGGTGGAAATGAGCAGTTCTTACTCAAGGCCACTCAACTTGTGTATGTTTCAATTTCCAATTCTCCCCACAGCTACCTCAAACCTTCCAATGCATCCTTTTCTGTGATGCCTCTTGGACCATCACTTTATTCTCTGTGCAGGGGAGGAGCAGATACTGCAGTGTACTATTCACCCATGGAATCACCAAAGATGTTCCATAGTTCTGCCAAAGCCTAGTAATGCGATGCATCACTCGGTTAAATCTGGAAACTGCAGTTCTGAACCATGAGTCATGATTTGGCAATTGATGTAATATATAGATCTTACTGATTATCTGTATCAACACCTTGTTTATCGAAATGAATAATCTGCATTTGTTCTGCTCCCGTGTGTTCACTATACCACGAGGATATTAAAGAACTAATGTGCTCTTCTCTCTCTTTCCATCATTTACTGACAGGCTGCTCTGTTGCTGTAGGCACCTGGCCCTATTTCAGAGTTAATACCATTATAAGGGACTGATTTCCCATTGCTCCACCTCCATGGTCCCATACCTAAGCTGGTGAAGTTTACATATAAGAAAAAAATAGATAAATATTATGTAATAAATACAGAAAAGAAATTGGCCCCAAACATTTTCTCATCTGACATATGTTAACATTACAGAACAGATCCATTGTAATAATTGGCTTGACAAATACCATCATATCCAAGCTCCAGAAATGCATGAAACACTCGAGAAAAACAAACAGGAATAAAAAGCAACTGAGCTAAATGACTCACAGAATTATAGAGTCATGATCTACAGATCAACCAGCTCTCTCACCGTAGGTTTCATTAATTCAGAGAAATGAACTAATTTGATTAAAGTCACAAAATTAGTGGCAGAACCAGGAACCAGGTCTAAATTATAGTTTCCAGACTGTGAGCCAAAACTTGTCATTACTACACCTGTTATGTGAGCTATATTCTTTCTCAAAGAGCCTTACATTAATTATAGGTTGTATGGTGATGATTTCTGCAGAGCTAATCCCTGGCTCCTTAGATCATCATGAAATGGTATTAGCATTCCCAGCTCATGTGGCTAATTTTGCCAGGTGTTTAATTGGAACTGGAAAACTTCCCCTCTTCCTTGGGTTCATGGCTATTCCAGTCAAAAGGTTTTCATCATCAGAGAGCTGTGGTGGAGTGTGGATTCTTCATCCACACAGGTTCATCACTAAGAGGTGCTCAAGACCTGCCATTTATTACTTTAGCTGCACGTCTCTGGGCTGCTGTGAGAGACCACCACTCCCCTGTGGAATGCCACTGCAGCTTTATCTCCAGAATTTTCCACCTGTGAAGACTAATCTCATCTCATCCTGTTCCTCAAACCTCCTGTCAGTAACTGCCTGAGGTTTTTCATTCATTCAGAAATTTATTGCACCAAGTTGCTGGGGCCTGCATTTGCTATTGGTATTTATAGCACATATGTGGTACCCACCACCCAGAAGGTGCTCGGTAAAGTGTTCTTTGAATAAATGTTTTGATGGTAAAACAGGTGGCACACAATTAGAAGCATTTTGTTTGAACACAGTACACTCTACCACAAACCATCATGCCCTTAATAGTCCTATGTCATTTTCCAAATCACTTATTGCTTCTAAGAGTTATTACAAAGAGAAAATGATGAAAGGCAAGATGGGAATGATGACAAAGAGATTTCATGTTGGTCAAGGAGAAGCAAGAAACAGGACAGGGTAATTATAAAGGAAAAGTAATAATGTTATGGAGCTGTGTTAGAGAGAGAAATGGTGGCTTGAGGGAGGAAAGAAGGAGGGGAAAAGAGCCATGGGCTGAAAATATCCTTAGCCAAGAAAATTCAGGAAAATACACAATGCAAATATCAATCAACAATCAAGAATATGAATGGCAGCTGGGGCGCCTGGGTGGCTCAGTCGGTTAAGCGACTGACTTCTACTCCAGTCATGATCTCAAGGTTCCAGCCCCACGTAGGACTCGTTGCTGTCAGCACAGAGCCTGCTTCAGATTCTGTGTCTCCTCTCTCTCTGCCCTTACCCTGCTCACGTTCTGTCTCTCTCTTTCTCTCTCTCAGAAATAAATAAACATTAAAACAGAATTTAAAAAGAATATGAATGGCAGTGTAATTTTTATTTTTTTAGGTTAAAAAACATTTTAATGTTCATTTATTTGAGAAAGAGAGGGAAACACAGAGTTTGAAGCAAGCTCCAGGCTCTGAGCTGTCAGCACAGAGCCCAACATGGGGCTTGAACCCACAAACTGCGAGATCCATGACCTGAGCCAAAGATCAGGACACTTAACCAACTGAATCACCCAGGCATTGGCAGCTTAATTTGTAATGTTATAAGGTTTATCCTTCTTTTCTGGATTCGTGTATGTGTGTATCTTTATTGTAGGAAAGATGGAAAAGACACACAGGAGCTATGGGTGCAGTCACGCAGGAGGGACAACCAAGCGCTTGGAGGACTGGTTGTGGTGGCCACATTCTGAACCAGCACAAACAAGTCCCTGTCAGCCTACTGATAGTGCGCTGATTACCAGTGTGACCGAGTGGAAAAAAGCTCCCTGCTGCCAAACGAGTCCCTGGAACTTTGATAAGAAGGTGACAATGCAGCAGTCAGTACAAGTTCAGAGACATATTAAAATCAAAGGGGAAAAGCTGAAAAGGAGGAAAAGGTGGTAGATCACTGCATTATTTTCCTTGACATGGCAAAATGGTTTCCATTGCCAATTCCCCTGTGTATCCTAAACCACCCTCCACCCCGCCCTGTCACTGGATGTCACTAACAACCTCTCTGTCCTAGATACAAAAGATGTTTTTCAGGACTGATCTTTTTTCTTTTAAATTTTTTACTGTTTATTGATTTTTGAGAGAGAGAGAGACAGAGAGACAGAGTGAGAGTAGGAGAGGGGCAGAGAGAGAGAGGGAGACACAGACTCTGAAGCAGCCTACAGGCTCTGAGCTGTCAGCATGGAGCCCGACATGGGGCTCGAACTCACGGACCGTGAGATCATGACCTGAACCAAAGGCCGATGCTGAACTGACTGAGCCACCCAGGTGCCCCAGGACTGATCTCGATGCTTTATGGGCAGCATTCCTCACTGCCTATGCCAGATTTCCTCTCCTATTTCTTAGGTCACTCCTTTTGATTCACCTCGGTGGGTCCCCTGTCCTTGAACTGGGGAGCTGCTTAGAGGGTCCATCCTATCTTCTCCCCTTACCCAATATACTCTTCTAATGAAGTATTATTCCCTTCTCTGACCCGAGGTACCATCTTTATGCTGTTGATTCTCAAACCTATCTCAAGCCAAGATCTCACAGCCCTGGACACCCAGCTGTTTGCTGGCTGCCTTCACACAAAGGGGCACCAGGAATCTATAACGCCACGAGTCCAAGCTCCTCTCTGGTCTCCTTCTACCCACACTGGCGCTCATGTACTGCTCAGTGACCAACCCACCTCTCACCCAAATAACCTCAGCAGACTTCTGAGCCTCATCTTTGATCTTTTCCCTCTCCTTTAGATCACAAATATTTACTGATGTCAGTATGTACCAGAAACTGTGCTGGCTGGGCCCTGGGGTAGAGTAGGAAATGAGGTCAAAATGGCCCTTGCTTTCCAGGAGCTTACGTGTCCTCACTTCTCACTCTTACCACCTGTCCTGCCTACACTGTCTTGTTGTTCTTGTGACAGGCGCTTTCTCTCTACGGGACTGCTACTGTCCTCTGGTAGGTATCCACCATTACTGCCTTGATTACCCCCAACTGCTTCCCGACTCAATTCTGTGATTCAAAGTTCGCCTTTCCTAACCATTTTCACAATACAGGGAGAGAAATCTGCCTAAAACCAATTTTATCACTCTGTCTCTGCTTACCATACTTCAGTGTTACTCCTCGCTGCTCCTAGAATAAAGGTAAAACTCATGAAATGGCTAAACGCAAGGGCTTGGCCAATGTCTGTGGGAGCCCTGGGAAGGAAGACAACACAGTATCCCTTCAAACCTAAAGTCCTGAAATAGTCATTCAACATTGTTAATCAGGAACAACTGATTCTATTAATAAAACTGAACATCCACTTACATCTAAAGTTAGGAATTTGCCATATGCATTGACTATAACATAGCGTCTTTTATGCATATGTGCTCCGTACATATGCAAAAATGGATCTTGCTCTGCATAGCGACATGTTATGTAATCTACTCTTTTTTATTTTCATATTATGGATGTCTTTCCATGTCATTAAACATTCTTCTACCACATCACTTGCTGACTGCACAGTGTTTTATTGAGTTGCTTATTTTTTTAATTTGACCTTTTCCAAAGTGATATATGCACAAGTTAAAATCAATCAAATAGCATGAAAGCATTCATAATAAAAAGCAACAGCATCCTGTGCCACCTGTCCCCATGTCAGCCCTGG